AAACACTGGAAAAAATCGCGCGCCATAAAGGTTGTAAATTTGATGGAAATATGATGTAAGTGTCCAAAATGATGGAAATTTGATGGAAATGATTTACATCAAATTTACATCATTTTGGACACTTACATCATATATACACCTACTTGCAGAAACGTTGTCATAGAAAATAGAACATTTGAATTTAGTAAAAAGGAATAAATTAAAACAAGACAAAAGAGAGCGTTCAGCCTCAGTGATCTTCTTTTGTCTTTTTGATTTTATTCCTTTTTACTAAATACAAATGTCCTATTTTCTATATGATAACGATTTCGCAAGTAGGTGTACATCAAATTTACAACCTTTTAAGCGTTCGATTTTTTCCAGTGAGAATTAAGTAATTTAGCTTTGTTTTCAGATTCAATACAGGGTTTACAAAAGTTTTCTAGGKAAGATGCGATCAAAGTCACTGTAGGCCATGGTTCAGACATGTAGATGTAAATATGGAGTGGTATGACAGATCCTTGTCCGGTTCAGCGCGCCTTAGCCTACAAAAACACTTCAAAACAAATGGCAAAAGAGCTYATTCCTTGAAACTAAATCACACTACAGTCGTCTTTAAGTAAAAAACACAGAGGACATGGTTTTGATATGCACGTAAATTGAAAATGCACATAATCCAGCATGCATACCTTGCTTTTTGCATGAGGAGAACACGAAAAAGGCGTAAAAAATCTCGAGCTGATGGCGAGAGATTTTCAGCCTTTTGAGCGTTTTCCCAAGTGGTTTATTTCACCAGGAACGCACGAAAATATGTTCGCGTTTACWGGTGAAATAAACAATAACATTTGGCCAATCAGAGAGCGCGTACTATGATAGTTTTAAAATATAACGTTACATGAACAATTCAATCGTTACCTTTTCTTTCATTACACACAAGTAAAAAAAAAAATAAAATTACATTTAAATAGCATTTTCAATGGAACCTGTATAGGATCAAAATGGTATAATAACTACATGTTATCTTGAAGTGGTTCAGCTGGATTCTGTATATCGTGTTCAGCACAAACAACGACTRAATGTCTCTTCTGAACAATGATCTCASTAACTGATACAGCTCAACCGATAAGCTGCAGAGACAATAGTTCTAAAACAAAGCATGATTAGGAGTTATTTTTGTGCTGGCAGGAACTGTAAAACTGCCTCCATTGTTTTCAGAAAAAGAGAGAGAGAGGGGTGGGCCGAGATTGATTAACCACAATGCTTTGCTCCAGAAAATAGCATCGCTGCATCTTACCTAGGGAGAGCC